AGTTCACTGCGGAACACTTTTTTGGGAATGCTCACAGTACGGTGACGAGATCTCTACGTATAACCAGACAAAGGGAAAATGTGGGTTCCTCGGCAGGAGGTGGAACAGAACAGGCCTTTAAGAATATGTGGTTTAGGATGAAGGCAAAAAAAAAAAAAAGACAAAAGGGGAATAAAACCTCTTTTCCTTCTGGGCTCGTGCAGGGCCTGGGGCAAAAGGATCTCCCATGGTATGAACGGTCACACAAAGCAACTGCCAAGGACTCGCAACGCAGCCCTTGAAAGAGCCCAGAGCACCTGCGGATGTGAAGCGGGCTGGAAACCCACAGAAAGAGGCTGGAAACCCACAGAAAGGGGCTGGGAACCCACAGAAAGGGGCTGGGAACCCACAGAAAGGGGCTGGGAACCCACAGATTTCTGCAAAGACAAAAAGGTAAAGCTGTGCCGAGCATTTCCGCGCCTGGAGAAGACCACCTGGCACTGCCTGGCACATCTCTTCAACTGCCTGTCACCTTGTCAGACATCTGAACACACGGCTTCAAAATGAGCCTCTCAGTTTGCGTCAGGCTGAAATTCCAGAAAAGCATCAGCCAGGAGAGTTGAGCTGCTTCGGAGAACGAGGCCGGGAAGACATCCCACGAGGGATGCTTCCCAAAGCAGCTCACAGGTCCCCATGCTCCCGAGCAGGGACCCGGAGCGGTGACAAGGACGTGCCTTGTTGTGCCACAAGAAAACTCGCAAGTGGCTGACAGGGAAAGCCGTGAAAAAGGTCACTCGCTCCCGAGCAGGGACCTGGAGCAGTGACAAGGATGTGCCTTGCTGCGCCACGAGAAGCCTCGCATCTGGCTGTCAGGGAAAGCCGTGAAAAAGGTCACTTTACATATTTAGGGGAAAGACTTTCAAGAACCTTGTGGCTAACGCCATCGAAGCTGCCTGTGTTACGCACACTCCCACTCATCTCCGCTCCCAGGCCGAGCAAACATGCTGCCACAGCAGGCGCTGCCACACCGTACAGGTGAGCTGCCCCCCGGCTGCTGCTTTTCCAGCTCGCTGCTCCCCTCGCGCCGCTTCTGCTGCGGGCGACAAGCCTGGCGGAGGCCGCGGCAGGATCTCACCCCAGGCGGTCCAGCGAGTGCCAAGAGCCCGAGCACGCCTCCCTCTCGCCCTCTGTACTCACATGTACTAGGGGCCTCCATGCTTTCCTCTTCTTCGGAGCCCTCGTGGCTTTCTGCCAGAGTCTCCTCGTATTTACTCCACGAGCTGTCATCGGGACCGGGAAAGGAAAACTCTGCGCACGGGAGAAAGAACAACAGGTTACGCTCACGCCTCCCGGCCAAGGATTCCAAGAGAGCGGGCGGATCGGGTAAGAGCCGGCTCAGAAAGCGAAGTCACCCCCAATTCCTGAGGATGGAGCTGGCAAAACACAACAGTGGAAGCAAGCACGGAGCGTAGGCGGGCGGCAGGAGCCACGTCTGCTTCCCACCTCCCCACGGAGCCCTCGAAGCCCTGTGGCTCACCAGTGCTGGGGTCTGTAGGCGTTTCTCCTCCCTCGGAGTCATCCGGATCCTCTGCGTTGGGATCCTCTCCTTGCTCGATCCGTGACAGGAGATCAGGCTTTGAAATGGCGGCATCTGCACGTAAAAAGAGGATGGGAACGTTTCCTTTGCCCTGGCGAGACTCCCAAACCTTGGCCCACCAACCTTCCTTCGCTGCTGGGGATGACAGGTAACGGAAAGAGGCTTAAGATGCTCTCACACGTCTGCACCGCTCACCTTATCCAGGCCCTGGGAATGTGAGCGGACTGCAGGAGCACACCCTGCTCAGGTGAGGAGCACCTCCCAGCCTGCAGCGTGAGGAGGAGAATACGAAAATGCATCTGTGCTTACCTCCGGCCTTCCTTTCTTCTCCTCTCTGCTAAGGTCCGCGGATCCAATACAATGGGGACTTCAGCTCGGGGACAGCACCAGAGCTGTCAGCCAGCGGCAGCAGGGCCAAGTGCCCTCCCCGTGCGGTTCCCTTCCAGCCAGGACCGCCTCCCGTCCTACTCGTCCGAGTCACAGGCTGCTTGCGGATTTTGGTAGGGGGAAAGGGGACAATCACAATCTCTCCTAGGGCGGAGAGCGGAAAACTTCATTTCCAAACAAGCGTGAGTCTCCGGGTATTAATTTTTCCCCGCTGCTCTGGTGGATCCGTTTGCCTTACGAGGGCCAAACCCCTAAACCTCGTTACTCAAAGGAAACCTTCAGATGAAGCACAGATACATTTTTCTAAGCTCCAGGCTCAGATCCACAGCTCCGCTTCAGCGGGACTGTTGGGCTCCTGCGCCTCCGGAGCAGGACGCAGGGCTGGTTTTTAAACAGGAGGGCAGTATTTATCCTTCACACAGGGGCTACAGAAGACCTCTGTTCAAAAAAAAAAAAAAAAGA